AATCTGTTCCAGTGCCTAAATACCTTTATAGCACAGGTAGATGGTTTTAGAGAGACTTAGCTTCTTTACAGAGAGTCTTAAGATTTGAAAGGAGTTAAAAGTGACCAGTAGTTTGGGACTGCTCAGTTTTGTGTTAGATCTGTTTTTTCAGTATAGAACACGCACAGATCCTTTGATAAGCCAGCATGATTTCTGTAAAAGTAGATACGGGCAGGGGGGATTAGATCTGTACTTCATCAGTCTGCTGTTTTGCTGAGCAGAAATGTGAGCTGTTTGAAGGTTTATGGCGCACACACCCTCAGCAAGGCTTGTCTGACAGCCTACAGCAGCGAACTCCATGTCAGTAATTCCTTCCAGCATTGGGCTTTCAGGACCAGCCAGTAATTACGTGCACAGCTGGTCTGCTGTAGCAGTTCTTGACTGCCTGCAATAAGACGTGTCTTTTTGTCTTCAACTGTTCCCATTACATGGGTGCTGCTGAGCCAACTAGGCTCAAAATGCAGCTGTACTAGAACAACATTAATCAGTCAAGGGAAAGAATTTGTCCTGATTTTGTGCACACCAGCTCCAAAGTGAAATGCAGTAGACAAACATGGGTAAAGGTGATCTTGGTCTTTGTGCTTGCGTAGTTCAGTGCTGGCTCTACATATAATCAGCTAGAAACTGGAACACACCAAGACACAGGCAAAAAAATTAACACCATCCAGTCTTACAGGTTTCCTACAGCGTGTTTGGAGAAGGCTCACAGCCTTCATCCTGGTGTCACAGCACTGTAAAGAGAGTTTCTGCCAGCAGGACCTCAGTGCAGACAGCAGTCCTGTTACATATTGACTCCTGCAGCATTTAATGATGTGCAATTACTCTTAGGTACCCAGCACCAACTTAAGAATAATGATTTTGTGTGTTTATTGCTGTATTACCATTGCTTTTGTTACATATAATGGAGGGGATTGCCTCTGGCAGCATACAGAAGTGAGAACTTGAGGAGAGGAATGGGAGCTGGAAGCTGATGAACGGGCTGCGTGGAAAGCTGGGCACATCCTGTGGTGAGGGAGTACCAAAAGGAGAGAAGGAGTTCTAGCATGAGGCATTGAGGTCAAGAGGACCCACTTTCACCAGATTCTTGGTCTGAGATAAAAGCAATCTGCTTTTAATGCATGAGGGCAGCCAGAGCCATACTTCTGGCTGCAGTCAAATGGCTCTTTCCCAAGCACAGCTCATGAGCTATATCTCAGGCCAGGGGCCACTCCTGGTGGACAACTGGGATGCAAACGCCATTTTATGGAGAAGTTTAACCTGGACTGTGTCATGCCAATTAGCTCCAATATAAGACAGTTATCCCAGTTGTGTTAAAATTACTGCTGTGGTCCTAACCTTGAGCACATCTCCCACTGGAGGTATTGGAAATGGAAGTAGCGGGCTGGTAGGAGACCTTATGGTCTGAGAAGGAACAGCTCTTGTTCTGAAAGTCTACAAGAGAGAGCTGTGATCCCAGTGTTCATCTTGTTCTTTTGCATTTGGGTTCTCAGATCTGACGTTGTTTGGTTGTTGGAACAATTTCTTCCTTTGCCTAGTCTGTATCTACAATTCATTATTAAAACCAAAAGAGTGGAACCTCCTGGGTCACTGGGTCCTGTGTGCACTGAACCTTTCCAGGCCATTCATTCCCAGTCTTGTAAGAAATTCAGGCGTTGGTCTGAGCTTTTGCAGCATGCCCTCACTATCCAAAATCCTCACTCCCTGCACCCCCCAAAATTGCAGCTTCCTCACACTCTTTTGTATGTCTCGCTCTAAAAACTCTTCACCCTAGGTGCATTTTCTATTCTCAGTTTATCAACAAATAAATGCTTTTGCATTATACCCTTCTGTCCCCACCGAATCACATTGAAATGCCTGAGCTGTGTATTATTATCCTTGTAGCACCTGTAAGGAAAAATAACACCTTATTCAGGGACAGTGCAGGTCATGTAGTGAAATGCCTGTCTTTCTGAACCCACATAAAGAACTGTGCAGTTAAGTGCAATTTTGAGGAAGTGGGTATGGGTGTTATTTGTCATCCAGGTTCCACTAATTGCAAATGCTGATATCTAAAAGGCAACAGAAAGTTCCAACAAGAAGGAGAAATTCTGTTCAGTGTAGTGTAAGAATTAGTTTTCTGGGCTGGCAGTGATTTTGAAAGGTGAATGTATCCCACCAGTGCTGCCATTTTGCTGTGGATGAAACAAGTCTCCTCATCCAGGTATCCCAGGTCTGACTTTGTTACTCTCTTTTAGAGTTTTGTGTCACTGGTAACTTGTGGAAATTTATGAACCAAGGTCCCCTTGACTTCCTCTGGAGAGTGCAACTAAAGAATTCATCTTCAAAGGTCTTCACATACTAAAAAACAAATAAGCACAGCTGCTCCTTACTCTGTTCCAATGATTATACCACGAGGTTAAGCCATTCCAGTCTGGCAGTGTCTCAGAGGTGGCAGCAGGACATCTTGTCGAGCCAGGTGATTACACACTGTGTAGGCTCCATCCTTGGCAGCAGGGTTTTGCGTTCACCTCTGCAGCACCAACACGAGAGCACTGCCGTGAGGACAGAACACTCACATACCTTTCCCCTAACAGAAAGCTTCACCAGAGGGCAGCACGGGATAGCTTTTTGTTGTAGAAGCAGTAGTTAACCATTTCAGGTGTCTGAGGCCTTTGATGTTAGCTGTTTGTTGTTCCGTGGCCATGATTGCACGTACATTTCTCTTTAAAGCTAGCCTTTGAGGCTGCTCCAAATCAATTACATTAGCCATGCATCAACCTTGCTGCTCTGCATTTAAAGCACAACTGTTGCACAGCTTGTAGGTGCTCTTGCACTGATGCCAGGCTCCTGCAGGAGCCAGAAGTCGCTGGGGCGCGCCTTGCCTGCCGCGCTTCTGTTGCTTAGGGCTTCCTTCTTTGTCAAGCTCTTCCAGCTTACTGAGCTGTTCTGCTTGCGCAAGTGGCTGCTGTCTCCAGCAGTTGCCTTTCCTGGTTCAAATGCCACAGCACTTGACTATTTCTGACTACTTTCTCTCAATTTACAGTTGAAGCTTTGGTATCTGCATTCTTGGGCTTTCACTGCAGAACAAGTACACTTTCTGTCCTTGGTCATTTACTTTCTCCATTTGGTTTCTGCCTGGTGGAGTTTCTCATTTCTGGCTTGTGTCTTACATTTCTTGGCCAGCCTCAAACTTGTGCAGGATTTGCTGTTCCACCTGGATGCATAGAAGTCTATGGGGCCTAATGGAATTCATTCCAGGGTACTCAAAAGAACTGGCTGACTTCACTGGGAGACCTTTCCCAATTGTTTTTCAACAGTCTTGGGAATCTGGAGGGACTCAGTCAACTGGAAGCTGGAAAACGCTGTCCCAGTTTTCAAGAAGAGCGAGAAAGAAGACGCCAGTAATTACAGCCTGTCAGTCTCACTTTGATGCCTGGCAAAATTGTGGATAAAATTATTCTGGGAGTTACTGAAACACATCTGAAAGACAGTGCAGTCATTGGTCACAGCAAGTGCGGGTTCATGAGGAGAAAGTCCTGTTTGATGAACTTAATCTCCTTTTATGACAAAGTCACCCATCTGGTTGACCAAGAGAAGCCAGTTGATGTAATCTCGTTAGGTTTCAGAAAATTCTGAATTGTGTTTCTTACAGCTTCTTTCTGAACAAAATGCCCAGCATACAGCTAGACAAAAACATAAAGCAGTGGGTGAACAGCTGGCTGACGGGTTGGGCTCAAAGCGTTACAGTAAATGAGATTACATCAGGTTGTTGACCAGTCGCTGACTAAATCTGATTCCTCATCTCTGAAGCTCTTATACCTCTGTAGCCAGTGATGTGACAGTGACTCATTGTGCATGTAACCTTGGTTTTGCTTTAGAAGAGAGATAAGGCAGGGCTGTATCAGAATTACATCTGCAATATGCATCATTTCTAAAGTGGTCTTCCTTGCTTTCAAAGGTTCATTTTTTCATTCTCTAACAAAATAACTGCAGAAAGAGATTGCTCAGCATGGCAGCAAAATCCACCATAGGAGCTGGTCCAAAGCAGTCCATCCTCACTGAGGTCTGCTGCAGTGGCTGATGGGTTCTCCGAGTTCTCCGAGTAAAATGTGTTCTGCACCTTCGCAATATGTGAAATGCCTGCTGCTCCCTGTCCTTTTTATTTTCAACATGGCCATAAACCAACAATGTGTTACATTAGGAATATGTACAAATGTTTATAACACAGTGAATAATAAAAATTACGTGTCATAATGCTGTTAACCCAGGGGCTTCTATGCTGTAGCAAAAGTTCTGTTTATCCAAGTTCTTAAAAACCAGTGTCTGTTTTTCTTTTTACTTGTTATCTTAGATTTGCACTTAGGTGGGGAAAAAGCAAAAAAAGAATTCAGTATTATTACTTTTCAGACCAGTGGTTAAGAAAACAAGTATTTCATGTAGAAATAGGTTAGCAGATTAGAGCTGATCTGCTGTGAGAAAGATTTCTGTGGTGTTCTTTTTAAAGCCTTATGTAACTTACTTTTCATTGTACTTTAAATACTGAAACCTTTGCAGACAGGAACAGGAGGTAAAGTCCTGCTGCAACTCTATCGTGTTAACCTTGCAGTAGTTGTTTTTTGAAAGCTCACTTTTCCATGAAATTAACAAATACCACTGCAAAATAGACTACTCTGTGCCTTGAAGTGGATTTGTAAGCTTTCTTCCTCAAAACAAGAACAGAGATAGTACAGAGATATTGTGCTACATTTTATTCATGCTGAGATTGTAGATATGTAAAAGGCTGCATTAATATTTGACAAGGTTTGTTCTATGTCACCATCAGAACTGTAGCTGAAGATAATCTTTGTCTGGCTGTCTTGCACTCTGAACTTTTTTTTTTTCTAAGATCTCCATCTGAAAATCTCTCCTGCCAGATTTGGAGTTGTCGGATTCATTATCCTCAAAATCTGTGTTAACTTTCAGAATCGTTTCTCTTTCTGCAGACACAGAAGCTGTGTTCGGCACAGATGCCGGCCTTCTCCAAGAGGTGGCCTCTTCATCCCCAGTGACACCAGCTCCTGCTGCTACCATGGGACCAGACAGCAGCTTCCTCAGCAGCGGACGGGTCCACGTCATCCTGTGGGGAAGCTTGGCAGCTGTAACAACACTCTTATTCCTCACCTTCCTCATCTTCCTCTGCTCTAGCTGCAACAGGTATGACTCAGGAGCTTAGGAAGCAATAACATTTCTCAAGTAATTGCATGGACTGAAATAGCTGCACTGGTAACTAATTAGTGAGAAACACTGAGAACAGAAGTGCAGAAGTACCTAATTATCACATTGTAGTAAGTTAATGCAAAGTAGTCACTTGCATTTTTGGAGAGCTAAGTTAATTCACACTACCCTGCCTTTTCCATGATGTGCCCACAGCTATGTCTGTGGGTTGGCTTCCCATAGTGTTTTACCCTCGGGGTAATTTACCTGGGAGCTCGTACTTGACAGTATATTTGTTTTCAGAGCAAATCTGAATTTGAGCAGTTCTTACTGTTTTCTGCTGCAGAGGAGCAATCTAAAAATTTCATTGTGAAGGAGTAATGCTGTAGTGCTTGCTAGGTGCTTTCTCATACCCTGGGGAGACTGACTGTAATGATGTGCTGGGAAGGGGAGCAGTGGTAGTACCAGCCCTTCTCTAAGTACCATCTATCCTGTGCCTCACTTATAGATGCCCTTGACATATCTTGGCTTTGTGCATTCTTCTGGATATCAGCTCACACAACGCACAGAAAGATCTATCTAAAAATATTTAAGTTAATGCTTAAGTCAAAGCCTTGATAGGGTGAGAGATAATGGCCTCACATTTTACCAAAGGAGGTTCAGGTGGGATGTTAGGAAAAATTTCTTCTCAGAGGAAGTGGTAAAACAGGGGAACCAGGGAGTTGATGGAGTCATCATCCGTGGAGGCATACAAAAGATGTGTGAATGTGGCACTGAGATACATGGTTAGCTGGCATGGGAGGGATGGGTTGACTGTTGGACTTGATGATCTCAGAGGTTTTTTCCAACCTTTATGATTCTGTGATACTTCCATCTATTCTATACTGTTTCTTTACACCAACAGTAGTATTAAACGTTTCTTTACACCTAGCTGGAGAAGTGCAAGATATGTCCTGGTGAAATAAAAGCAGAAAGGTTTTGCTTTTTATGCTGAAATAGTGCAAATGCGTCAAGACGTTTTATAAACCAGGAGGCAGAGCTGATGTGGGAAGGTGAAAGGGAAACAGGCTGCATTTCCTGGTGTGACCTGGAAGGATAAGCCAGACAGCAAAAGTTTTTTTCTGCTCAGATCCAGCAGTCCTCTGGGTTTTGCAGGACAGGAGCAGTATGTTGGCACTAGTCCCTGCTGAGGAAAAGTCAGCAGCCACCATCAGTCCCTCTGTCCTGCTGGGCATTGCCCTCAGAGATCTCTCCTCTCTCCAACACACAAGCATACAGCTCCCTCTTCCTGACTCATCGTTTGGGCTTTTGGACTTGCCAGGTTTTTTGAGAGAACAGGCGGTTTCGCAGAGAGATCGGCAAGTAAAAGTTTCCACAACCTGTTACCAGTTGAAAAAACGAGGTGAACTGAACAGAAAAAGTGTAAGTGAAGAGGAAAGGAAGGTCATTTCTATGTATTTCTGCTTTGCTTTGGCCGTTCCTGGAGACTGGTGGGTTCAGTGCTGAGTCCAGCCTCTCTGAAGGGTTGGATCCTACAGGGTCTGTCCTATCTTAGAAGGAGCCTGCCTGGAGGCTGAATGTAGCTTCAGGAAGCTGTACAACCATAGAAAAATCCTATTCTGGCATAACGTATGTTCACAATGTAAAGCTGCTTTGCAGGAGAAGTTCTCTAATGCTCACACTGCAAAATCAGTTGTGGTCATCACCGACAGCTGCTTGACACCCTAAAAAGACAGAGTTGGAAGGTGTGATTTCACTCCAGACCTTGAATCATTGCTATTTGGAACCAAGTCGAGTGACTGAGTGTGTCCTTGCAGTTACCCAGATTCATTGTCAGAAACTGCCTGGAGAAGCTCTTTAATGAATGATTGTGTTGCAGGTCTACACGCAGTATCTTTTATTGCAGGTCATTGTGTAGGGCAGGTTGTTTGTGCATAAATGCAATTATGTAAAATTTCTTCCTAGCTTACTTTTTAAAAATGGTTGAGGACATGGAAAACTAAACAAAATCTTCTCATTCGAAAATGTCAGAGTCAGAAAACTTCCAAAGAACTTTAAAAACACTTTAACAATAGTCTGTATGATTTGGGCATGGCTGCAGACTGCCTTGCTCTGTTTTCTCATTTCACAATCAGGTAGAATTTTAACTGTTGCTAATGTGGGAAGTATGGTACATTGTAGACTTAAAAGTATCACAGATTTAATTTCATCAGTATTTTCTCCCCTTTTTACTTGCCTTTTCACCTAGGGGAGGGAGCATTATTATATCAAGCTTATCATTTATTTACAGTATTTCAAAATAAGAACCTATAAGAAAGAAGGGGGTGGACTCTTTATCAGGGTCTGTTGTGATAGAACAAGGGGAAATGGTTTCAAATGAAAACAGGGAAAATTTAGATTGGATGTAGGGAAGAGGATTTTTAGAGTGAGGATGGTGAGGCACTGGAACAGGTGGCTGCCCCATCCCTGGATTCAAGGTCAGGCTGGACAGGGCTCTGAGCACTTCATCTGGCTGTAGGTGTCCCTGTTCATTGCAGGGAAGTTGAACCAGAAGACCTTTAAAGGACCTTTCAAACTCCAAGAATTCTATGGTTCTGTTTCGAAAGTTACAGAAACTGGAAACTCAATCCAGACCTTGAGTACTGCAGAGTTCCTGTTGAAGCAGAATTCATCTAAAAGTGAAGTTCAAGGCCTCTGCTACTATGCAATTTGTAGGCTGCTTGAACTGCTCATGCTCTCATGCTTATTAATTGTAGCTGACATCCTGAGTAGAAGTAGGATGAATTTTGTGGGTTTCTTCTACTTCTTTAGAAGACAGGCATGTTTTACTCATGCAGTTTAGGGAACCTCACAGGTCATCTGTTATCAAAAGACATGTATCATGTATCTCTGAATGTTTCAGATATAATTCAATTGATGATAATAATACTGTGATTACCATCAGCAACTCTTCAGTGTGATCTTACATTAAACAAGAAAAAAGTTTGTGTGTGTTCACTGTACCTCCTCAGAATATGTTTGCCACCACCCTGTCTTGCTGATGACCTAATGTTGAAGCCATACCTGTCCCTGTAATCATCTTTAGTTATTTAATTTGTAACAATGTTGTGAATCAGCAGCTGTGTTCAGCTTCCTGCAGCTGTGTACAAGCTATTAATGATTGACTTTTGAAGATCAGTGTAATCTGTAGTAACGTGTTGTATTTCTTCGCTAAGGGAAAAGAAGTCCAAACATCAGAATGGAGATCATGAAAATCTGATGAGTGTGGTAAGTGTTTGTTTCTGGCAGTGTATGTCTTCCTTGGGGTTGGTTTGCATCAGGCTCTTTGCAAAATACTGCAGGTTGGAAAACAGATCAGGAGTTTGGAGGCTATTGAGTAAGGGAAATTTAGAAGTTTTGGAACAATAAAAGGAGGACAACTTCAGTCAATCTCAATTTTTTGTTGTTATTCCAGATCTCCTGCTTTCCTTTTGCTCAGGTTGCAGTGCAAGTGTGGTTTACCCATTTGTCAGCCACTGTCTTCTAACTGTTTAAGTGGTGGTGATTTCTGTTCACGCAGAGTTTGGAAGGGATATCACCTTGGGCGTACTTGCATCGGTTTGTTTTAACATCTGTAAACATATAAATAACTCTTGGAGAACAGTGTGCATGATTCGACCTTCCTGGCAATAAAACATGCAAGTCAGCACTCCTGAGATGAGAACGAAATTCATTATGTATCTGTTCTTGGAAACGGGTGTTCCCGCACATCAGTGCAACCTACCTGCTTTGTGTTGCAGCCTTCTGAGAAGGAGGTGTTCAGCCACTCCATCACCAGCTCCGCCACGGAGCCGCCGCCCAGCAGTGAGCAGAACGGCGCGCTCAGCAACGGCGATGGTGAGCAGCACTGCTGTGGTGGGTGGGATGGCCACAAAGTGCGCTGCCACACTGTGAGCTCCCGCCTCAGCCGCGCTTTAGAACTTTTGCAATTTGTAATCGTGTCTTAGGTTGCCAGCCACCTCCTTTCCTTGGGTGTAGTCCTGTTGTTTGCCTGAATACCCTTTGTTTCCCCTTGGCTCCCTGGGGGATCTGGCACGAACGCGGCTGCTGCGAAGCTACAGGTGCAGATAGACCCGGTCACCAGACACAGCCTGCTGGGTTCCCATCTCAGCCAGCTGTGGAGCTGGGATGTGACCAGAGGTGTGGCTGGACCTTGGTGCTTTAGAAGTGCTCCTAATGTCTGTGGAAATATTTCAGGTCCTCCTTCAAGGACTACAGGTTTGGGTCATAGACCCGTGCTGTAGGAGGCTGTCACTTGTGTTTTTGTATTTTAGGAAACAAGTACAGTTTCTTTTTTGTCTTATTCTTTGTTTTGCTGAACACTCAAAAAAATTCGCACTCATTGGAAGTCACATATCACTGGAAAATACTTTGCTCAGCTGTGCCTAAAAATAAATGTGCTCTTGGTTCAGCACTGGTGAGAGCCAATGGCTTGCTGTGGCACCTGGGCTGTGTCCCTTACTTGCAGCTCATTGTGAAGCTGGAGGGTAAGCTATTAAATCTTTAACCCCACGAGACAAATAACCAAAGGAGTTTCTAAACATTGCCATTGCATTTCACTGCAGTTCCCATACACTGGCTTGTTGCTTTGTTTACATCTCTCAGTGACTCTTTGTGCAGAGCAGAGCCCTGTGCAGGGAAGCATTCCTGCCTACCAGCAATCACCACACATTCAGCTGTTGGAATCTACCGCTAAGAGTTGTGCTGTCAACTGTCAGGCAGATTCTAGACTGTTAGGTAACATTCAGCTTACGATGTGTATAGCAACCCTTTCACATAACAGGAACCGATTTACTTTATTTTGTTATTTATGCTTTATGTATCATTTCTGTTAATATTTCTTTCTTTTGCTGTTTGTGCCTTTTGAGAAGGAGAAGGAGCACCATCAAATGCATTATTTCTTTTGCCCAACCTGCCAGCTCTGTGTTGGTGATGCTTATCTACCCTTATCTGCCAACCCTTCTACAGAGCACAGGTATCCCCAAGGGCCAGATGGGAAAAATAGCTGCACTTTCTCCAGGCTGGTTTCTGCTGTTCCTCAGGAAGCTTGCAGGGAGCATGAGGAGTGAACTGGACACCTTGCATGTGTCTTACTCCTCCCCAGGTCTGCACAGGAGGCAGGTGAATGGAGAAGGATGTTTTCCTTTTCCTCTCACATTTCCCATTCATGTAGCAATTACTCAGACCTTGAGTTTTTTCCCGGGTTCTGTTGTCAGATTATGGCTCCCAGGGGAGTTGGCTGTGTGAGTCTGCATGCCCAGAGCACAAAATAAAGAAGTGTACTCATCAACCACCAAATCAATGGCACTGATTGCTTCAGTAACACTTGGTGTCATGATGTCAAACACTCTAAAGGAGTGAAGAAGACTGGGTTGATTTTTCCAAGAGAATGACATAGGAACTGTACTGTAAAGCTATTCAGAAGTGATCTGAAAGAAATAGTGTACAGTAGCATTCCCTGTACTATCTGGAATGTGCTCGTATGTGCGTGTGTATGTATACATCTGTGAACACAGGCAAATGTCTTATGTGAGCACTGTAAGATGAGAAGTCCCTAAATTTCAGTCCTCAGTGCCCTATTTGTGACAGAGACATGTGGCCCATTCTGTGACTTAAACACATTCTACCAACACTACTCTGTGAAATCTGATCTTCTCTTGTGCATATGGCTGGCTCATTAGTAGGTTGTCAGCCTACATTCTGTGCTGCAAGACTAGAAGAAGTTTGGCACAGCCTTCCAATAACTTGCTCTCAATGTTGTGAGCCATGAGGCTGACTTCAGCAAGGTTGACTGAGGTGTGGATCAGATGAGAATTTGGCCAGCATGTCAACAAGGTGAGGCTGGGTAGGGAGAGGGCAGCAAAAAAGTATTTGTTGACTGCAAAATAAGGAAGTGGAAAGAGGAAAATCTCTTCAAGATATTTTAAATGCAATTGGTTTGAGGCCTCCTGCCAGTGTTCCCCTTTGGAGATGACTCAGTCTAAGCATTCAATAGAACCAAGTACGAGCCAGCTGAACATACCTGTGCCAACCCATCCATTCTTACTGTGAACGCTGCTATGTAAAGTGATGAAAGGGTGCACAGAGCATTTAAGGTGTTGTCAGAATAATGCTTTAACAGTGGAGTGCAGAAATCTCCATAAACTAAAACTTGTGGTGAACTAAAAACACGATAACTTTTTCAGGCATTACTATCATTTATCCTTTTTAATGAGAGATAAAACTGAAGTAATGTGGAGAGTACCAAACCACATTTGCCTTTCTTAGTCATGCAGTTGTTTTAAATACTTCTTTAATCATTTTCTGTAGTGCTCTCAGAGGACAGTACAACTGCCTGTATCCAGCCTTATGAAGAAGTACAAACATCTATTTCTGATCTGCTAGAACAGGATAGTCTTGGGAAATCCTTAAAATGTCACCAGAGCCGGGAACTACCCAGTATTCCCCCTAACAATACCATGGAGACCATCATCTCAGCTAGAAACGCCGAAAATGATCAAGGTCTTGGAATGGAAGGGCCTTATGAAGTCTTGAAAGACAGCTCCTCTCAAGAGAACATAGTTGAAGACTGTTTGTATGAAACCGTGAAGGAAATCAAAGATGTTGGAGCAGCAGCCAACATGGAAAGAAGCTGCAACAGAAAGTCAGCGGCTTCAGTGATGGTTACCGAAGGTCAGGATCAGATTCCTGAGTGCAGAATTGAATCAGCAGAATATGCATCTGTTGACCGAAATAAAAAAAGTCGCCAGAGTGCTAATTCAGAAAGCCCTCTGGACAGCACACCAGATGTAGAGGATGAGCTTCCTCCTCCAGTGCCCATGAAACTTCTTGATGAAAACGAGAATGTGCAAGAGAACGAAGTGGATGAAGGAGAAGGGACAGAAGGAGCAAGTAAACCAGAGAAGGTAAGTACCACTTGACCATGTCCAACTGTTAGACAATAGCTAGAGAACTTGCAGGGCTGAGGAATTTTTTTTAAATAGCAAAAAATGCCAAGAAATAAAAAAACACTTAACACGAGGCAAGACTATAATAGGAAAATGGGGAAATGCACAGCACAGCTTCTGTATTAAAGGCATGTGTTTATTTTATAGGAACCTATAAGCAGGACTCTTGCAGTATGCTTTTCATAAAGCTTTTCCCAAATATTATCTAGAAATTACGTAGAAAGCCTCTGCTTCATTATTTAATGGTATTATATTTGTGGGTACTATTACAGTAGGTATCTGGTGCCTTTGTTAACAGCTGTATGTTGTTCAGACTCTCAGCTTTGTTTTGTGTTGATTTTTTGTTGTTTTTTTTTTCTAGTAGAAGCTAAATCTGCAAAAAGGGGATCTGCAAAAAGGGGATTGAGGGATTGAGACATTTTTGGTGGATGCTGTAGCTTTAGATGTGCCTCTTGTGTTGGGCCACATCAGCCTCGCTGTGTGACTGCTGTGCCACTCAGTGCCACTCATCTGCTCTCCCTCTGTATGAAATGATAGGGACAGCAAAAGAGACGAAGAGGGACTGCAGTAGTAGACTTGTAAAACGTAAAATCTGCTTTCAGTCTTGTAGCTGCTATTCAGCAATTCCTATGTACAAAGGATCACAGGAGAGAAGTGCTAAATTAAATATCCCATTAAGCCAACCATAAAGGCTGCAGAAACTCTCTAAACCCATAGATTTTGTACTTGTCAAGTTCTGTTTGTCACACATAATAACTCTTAACTCAGCCAAACATTATGTTCTCTTAGAGCTCATTCTTGCTCCCAGCCTTAATGGCAGACCCCTTGAAAAACAGCGATGATGTTTTCAGTGATCTTACCCATTTTCCTTTTTCACCAGAATCAGTGCTAAGAATCCTTTCAAATAATCACAGAGTTGTCACAAATTGTTGAGTTTGCATTTTTCAGGACTGGTTTAGAAAATCTGTAACTATTTAAAAAAAAAAAAGTTATTTTAGCAGGTTAATATAGTTCTGGATTCTGATATCGATGAACCTTTCCAAAAATCCTTGAGATTTGATGTGATATTTAAACATAAACATTTACCTGAAAAATGATAGGAGAGCTGAGGTGTTATTACTTGCTTCTCGTTGTCCGTGTGGTCGACATACTTCAGTAATGCAGGCAGAGGGCAGAAAAATACGTGCTTAATACATGTTAGAATGCCCCCTCCCTGGAAGCATTCAAGGCGAGGCTCGATGAGGCTTTGAGCAGCCTGGTGCAGAGGGAGGTGTCCCTGCCTATAGCAGGGGGTTGGAACGATGTGGTCTTAAAGGTCCTTTCCAACCCAAACCATTCTATGATTCTGTGTTTAACCGTATAGTGTATAGAACCCCAGAGAGCCAGTGTGAATACAGAGAAGACTTAAGATCTGAACATTGTTCATTCAGGCTCTTCAGTGCACGTTCTTACAAATAACAAGCTCGTTAAGTAGTAAATTAATACAGCGTGTTGCTCATAATCCACCAACACTCCCCTCTGCCGAATTCAGGTCGTATGCAATTTCTAATTAATTTTTTAGAGAAACAGCTCTCAGAACCAGTGACATTTTCCTTTCTAGGTGTGAAAAGTTTCCAGAAAATCATTGTATTTCCCCATCAGTGATACAAAGGAGGCATGTTTGCTGCTCGGGAGCTCCCAGCACACTGTGTATACAATGTCGGTGTCTGCGATGACTGGGAATTGATTAAAATGGTTCAGGTTTTGAAGGATTAATCAAGAGATGGCACATACAGTTCCCTAAGTGCCAGAAAAAAGGTGTTTGTCTAATTAAAATTTATTCAGAGCTAATGTCATCCTGAGTTAAGCCTTGGCAGCATCAGCTCATTGGTGAGCCCTCTGCTAGGTGCATGCATTATGCATTGAGGCGTGTGCCTGTCCTGTCCTTGAGAGCTACAGCTGCAGCAGAGTTGGAAATGGTAATTGATTGAATATATAAATGTCATTATTGTTGGCATTGTAAGTGGAGGTGGTTGCAGGAGTGTTTTGCTGTTGTGGTGATAATTTTTCCCTCTCTTCTGCTTCTTCAAGCGATGCACTGCGATGCCTGTGTTTTCTGATGTGGCAACCAGGAACAAGATGTTTATGGAAATAAGCTTTATGTTTGTAATTACTTTAGTTAGGTGGACTTCACAGCTGTGTCTACTTTATGACTGGACTACAGCATAGGCATCCAACCTTCTGGTTTGCCTGGTCTGCATCGAGTGAAGAGGAATTGCACTGGGCCACGTATACAAGCATTGCTCCAAAAGTAATGCCTCCTGTTTATTTCCATGGAAACTACAACAGCCACAAAGAGTACAATAACAGTGTTTGATAGAGCAGATTCTTATCTACAAAACTATTTTTTCCACATAGTCACCACCATTAGCTATCCATTTTCACGAGTGATGAACAAGAGCCTGCATGCTGTGCTTGTGAAAATCAGCAGAGGTGACCCACTGTCACCACTACTGAAACCACTCACTTCCTCACTGTGCTCACATCCGCAGTTTGGTCTGTACAAACATTCAGCAAGCATCAGTGAATGTCAGTGAGTGCGATTTTTTCCACGTGGAGGTATTCATTGCCACACTTCTGTTTAATTCATACTTCCATGCAGATGCCACTGTGTCAGACTGCCCCTCTGCTGCCATCAGTTGCGTGGCAACAGCATGTAATGGAATATTGGTGGGAAGATTCATCATCTACTGCCACACCACCAGCATCCGCCTCTGACATTGTGGGCCATTATTTTTTCATAGGAGGCTTTATTTTTGCACCATCCTCGGGCATGCCTGGCCTAGATGATCTTAGTGGTTTTTTCCAACCTTAATGATTTCATGATTTGATGATTCTTGCTTCTTGCTTTGGGAGAGAACTCAGTGTGCCAAACCAGAGACCACTCCAGCATAATGTTCATGATCTGCATGAAGAGGAGCCCCATGCAAATGGCAGTCCATGGTGCTTTTTCCTTTTCCAGGAGGTGTGCTCCTGATAGTGCTAAATGATCCAGCCCTGCCGGGGCCCAAAGGAGCTCAGTGCTTTCTCAGGGCTCTCCTGTGTGGGACTGGCAGGCAGTGGTTGGTTGCAGGATGACAGATCAGTGCCAGGGCTGGGTGAGGAACAAATGACAATTCATTCTGTGAGTTGGTTGTTGGCTGTGGCACAGACAATACCATTGGAAGGTTTTGGAGAAGAAAGGCAAATGTAGTAGCACAGTGCCTCTCACAGGACTTTGCAAACTAGAAAAACTTGGGTGTGGTTCTTCTATTAAAACTGGAGGGACAGAATACTTTTCCTAAAGTTCTTTTTAATCAGAAAAAGCAGCACAGATCTCTCTTTTCTCCCAAGTCTCTCCAGACTGAGCAAATACAGGAAGAGTGGTAGAAATGCTCTGTGTGTGCGTTTGGCTGCTGCCCGTCTGATTTCAGACCAGCACAGCATGAGGATGGGCAAAGCATCTCGTGCTAATGCACCATGGGAGAATGGTGTCCTTGTTCTGGTGCCTCAGTCAGGAACATAGCCAAGCCAACAAACACAAAATCCAGTGCTGTCGAGGAACTAAAGGAAAAGGGATGGAGAACAAGGATGTCTTGTGTTTGCACTGAGGTTTCAAATGTGATTTATAATATTGCTAGGTACAAACTGTTCAGGAGTGGGTATTTTTTTCAGTTTCCAACATGGTGAAATCCTTCAAGACCAGTGTCATGGGTTCTGTGCTTAGAGGAAAGAATGCTACTTAGTATGAAAACAAGTGCGGGGCTGTCAGCACGTGGGGGTATTTCTCAGAACTGGATGGGAAATTGCAGAAGTGCCCACAGATGCTCTAATAAAAAAATGACTTCACTGCAGAATTTTGCTCGCACACATTTGTTTTAGTGGATAACAGTGGTAATATTCAGCTACTCCTCTGGACAGAAAACATCCTACAAGTAAGAAAGAATAAGCCAAGTTGCTGTAGTGTAGCAGATCCAGTAAGGGGCTATGCCAAAATGAATTTGAACTTCTTTTATTTTTTGTTTTATCAGTGAGTAAACAAAGCCCAGGTTGAGGAGCAGGTCCACCAGCAAGCAGGTCAGCAGCCAGGAGCCCCAGGGTTGACTTCAAAGTCTTCATCAGACCCATCTCTGGGGCTTGAAGCTTGGAATTGATTAAAAGTAAAAGCACCAAGAAAGGTGGAAGTAAAAAGGAATTTGCTGTAAGAAACGTGTAGGGAAAAAGTTTTGTGTAACTCATATACATTTCTGGAAGCAATGTTTCTGTGACCATGCTAAAATGGTGGAACTCTATTTCTCAATCTTGGTCTCCACTGGAAGGCGTCTGATATTCAAGGTGGAGAATGTGCATAAAACTCCAAAACGTGGCCTGTTGCAAATAGTGCTGAAGGCTCCCTCCCAGCCACCATGAGCAGGAGGTCCAGCAGGTGTGCTGTGGTGGGGAGGAATCCCAGATCTGCTGGAAGGTGGCCAGGGTAGAGGTCCTCAGACATGTTTTGTAATAGTCAGATGGTTTTTCCAGTGTTTCATGTTTCTTTGTTTCTGTCTTCCTTTTTTTTCCCTGTGCATTCCACTTTGGATTCTTGAAGTTACACGAAGCCTCTGTTCTTAGGTCACTTTGGCACATGAGCTGGACCAGGCAGACCTCAGAGAATGTAGCTTCCCCTTTCAAACCGAGTTGAAGCAGGTTGTGTCCACATGTGTGGCTCTGAGGCCGAGGGCACCTCTGAGCAGCAGCTGCATGGTGGAGGGATTCGATTGCCTTGCGGTGCTTCCAGAGCTACTGAAGGAAGGGCACTTACCACAAGGAAGGCACCAGTTCATGTAGTCCTTTTGTATTCTGGGAACGTACCTGAAGATGTACCGTAGCTCACTTTTAATTGCTCAGAAACCTTTGCAGACTCTTTCTTGCTTCATTGGAAGTCTGAAGGCAGGGATACAGCGCAGCAGAGTTTGTTTTAAGCATTACATTGTATTTGCTCTTTTTAGGTCAGCGTAAGAGTAGATACATTAAAAAGCTCTACTAACCTCAGGGCTGTTATCTCCAGAGATGTACGCTGGAAATTAGCTCCGTGAAATGGAACTAGTGAGCAAATGACCATAAAATACAATGTATTGATTGTAGTGTGAGGGTTTTATTGTAGGTATCACACTGTTGATTGGTAATGAGCCTTTTTTTCTTTCTCCTTTTTTTTACAGAGGCTTAGTTCGATGTCTTATAAGTCTCGAGAGGAAGATCCATCTCTTACAGAAGACGAAGTAGGTTTCTTGTATAAAATTCAATAATGAGCTACAGACCTTTTTTCAGGCAGAAATTAGCATAAGCTCTGCATGATTAAGCAGAATCTGTGGTGAAAATTGTCTAAACAGAAAATGGAAGCCTAAGTTTTTCTGTATAGAATTCACACTGCCACATTCCTGAAATCAGAAGCATTATAGCATGTGGTTTTATCAGGCCAATAGGTTGATAAAAAGAATCAGAAAATAATAGGAGTCCCAACTAGCTGATGGTTAGGGCAGCAATTTGGTTTGGATTCCGAGTTTGACATGTGCTCCACCTTTCTCCTGCAGAGTGTTCAGGGCTCTGAAGCACATATATTATTTTAAGTGTTTATTGGTCAAATTAATTGAAGAGATTGAAACAAAGATGAAAAAATGAAACAAAAATTGCATAATATGTAATCATGTCCAGTGCTCCCTTACAGTTTACAAGTGTGTTCTCTGGACATAAAGCAAACACGGCCCCGGCGGTGAGCTGGGTGATCTGGTGCTTGTTGCTGGGGAGGCACTCCCACACAGGGATGAGCACACTGCTCCTTCTGGCTTCATGCCATTCAGTGCTGAAAAGAGGATGAAATACAAATGGGCAGAAAAATACTGTTTTGAGTTTGGTTAGCTAGCTGCTGCTATTAAAATGCAAGAGGCAAGATCTGAGAGCATCCTTCTGCGTTCCAGCAGCTAACGCTGATCACCAATCTGATGCTGTCTCCTCATTTAGCCGAAGTTGGTTCCAGGACCATAGGAGGGCTTTCAGGAGCTGACAAAGCCGGTCCTTTTCGTCTTGGATCTGATTTGCCTTTATTTCTGGAAGGAAAGAATCGCTGCATAAATGCATGCGAGACGAGCAGTTTTGTAAGAAAGGATATGTTTCTATTGGCAGGTCTAGTAAATAGTCAACATGCTGGTGGTGGGAGGGGTCAGACTGACACACAGGTTTTACAACGTGTAAGTACTCAGCGGGCATCTCCTTTTCCCAGATCTCAGCCATGTACTCTTCAGTGAGCAAGCCAGGACAGGCCATCAGGGCAATGGATTCTCCTTACACCTGTATTCAAGAAATCACATCTCAGAGGTCCCCGTCTGTTTGCAGCGGCCTCTATGCGAGCGTGAAGGACTTTGAGAACACCCTCAGTACTACCAGTGTGCCTCAGTCGGCAGGCAGGCCCAACGGGGAGCTGGAGCCCGACTACGAAGCTATCCAGGCAGTGAGCCAAGACGAAGACAGGACCTTGTCTGTGCCTCACACAAACCACATTGCTCTGTCGGGAGAGAATGACTATGAGAGCATAGGGGACTTGCAGCACCACAGGGATGTCACCAGACTTTAACTACTCCGGCATCTGGGTTTCAGCCTTTGTGTTGTCTGCTGGTGTTTCAAAGAAGCATGCGAAACAAGGAGAGGGAAGCGCTTCTCATTTTGAGGAGCAAAGCTAAGTGCAGAACAGGTGTGAAGAAGCCGTGTACGTTTCAAGCCAGCGAGTGTTATCTGTGGGTGATTCTGGGCGGTGGACAGAAGCTTACAGGAAGGTTAATTGTTATTGTTGGCTTTTTATTGTTAGTTCCTAGACGGCCAGAATTCAGGAAGGGGCGCTGTGTTTGTCATCCTGATAGGGTTACGTACCAAAAAGACTGCCTTTACGCAAAGCTAGCTTTTCATTTTATTTTGTGTCAGTTGCTTCAATGTGTTCTTCAAGAATCGTTTTTCATCTGCGTTCGGGAATCCACTGAGCTACTTGCAGACCACCATGCCTCAGTCAGGTGGACTCTGAGGGCTGGGAAAGGTGTGTCAGCATCTCTTGGGGAGCTCTAATTCAGCCTGGTAGGACCGTGAGGGTTGAGGTGGGGTCGGAATTCCCATTCCATTGTCATTGCAACTAAAGTGTAACAGTAGCAACAGTTACTCCAAGTCACAAGGGTCATAATGCAAATGTACTTGAATTAATTCCATTGACTTTTTCCCCCTCCCTGCCTTCCTCCCTTCCTTCCTTCCTCCCTTCCTCACTTCCTTCCTTCCTCCCTTCTTTCCTTCCTTCCTTCCTTTTTTCACATCAGGGGCTGTAGAATGTGTACTTGCAGTATTTGAGATGTGTACTGGTATTTTTAGGATTTCCTGTTTAATTATTTGTGAAATACTGTTTTAAAATGGCAAGCAGCACCCTTAGCATTCTCACTCTATCCCCCCAACATGCAAACATGTACCTGCACATACACATGCAAGGCATTGGTCATGTTGCAGAAGGTTGTACAAATGAATATTACCATAATGTTTAGTCTCACCTTAATAGTGTTGACTCATCTTTTGAAGAATTTTGCCCTTTTTTTAAAGACTTAAAGTATTTTAGTATGTTTGACTAGTGCATTATATAGGAAAATTTCTGTACAGTGTTGAGTGGATGATGTTCTTCATTTTTACAGCACATTTTCATCTTCAAAGCTTTTGTAGGTTAACTTACTGCTTTATATAATGAGAGGAATCCTTTCTTTGGGTTTTATTTGTTTTTGCTTTATATCTTTTTCCTATTTTAGAAGTACGTAAAAGAACAAATCCTATTTTTTATTTTTTTTTTTTTACATCTTCTTAAGCAGGGTTGTGGAGCACACCTTGCTATTTTTAAGCTCAAAATAATGGAGTCTGTATAAAAGAACACTGACAGAAGGCCAAAAAGAAGGCAGGAGAGTGTATTTTGTGTGGGTTAGCCACTGGTCATCCTTGTTCCTCACTGGGAGGAGCAGGAGAGTCAGAACTGGTGGGACCAAGAACTTCCTGGGGTTCTGACAAGCAGTTGGAAAACCACAGTCTTTCCAGAGATATGAAGTTTCTCTGTAACTGCTGAAAACAAAGTACGGTGCTGAGATGAAATAAGCAGGTACTGGACTGATACTCTTGTTTTCTTCAAGAATAGTACAATGAACGGTACAGTAGTACAAGAATAGCCCAACAGTAGAGAATGTACATTATATTATATGCATCTGTACACAGTTATGTGTACATTTTTGTGTGTCCCTGTGTATGCTCACATACACAGGTGCTTTGTAAACAGGCATAAACTGTGGTCCAGACTGGGTAGCCTTCACATAACTTTCACATAGGTACTATTGGCATGTGCTTGAAGGGTAGTTTATTTTAATGCAAGATGAACAGTATTTAAACAGGGATTGTCTCATTCTGTATCAGCCTAGCATGTATTTAGCATGGGTTCAGTTGGTACTGAGGTTTGATGCATGAGATTGAGTCCTTCTCAGACCACTGGCCAGTGCACAGTGCTTGGTACTATAAAGGGCGAACACAGCTCTAGGTACACACGCTTCCTAGAAGTAAGCTTACATCTGGATGAGGTGCAGTGGTTTATGAACACTGACTGTACTGAGCATGGCTTTGAGGAGCAGTGCAGTTGGATGCCCACAGAAAAACACAGACATCATGGAGCCCATCCTCACGCACAGTGAGGTGACACACCTGGGCCAGGCTTTTCTTTAGAGTGAGGCCATGCAGTCCAGTCTGCATCTGACTTGTTCTTGATTGTGCTGCTGTGCTTCCACAGCTGCAGCCTTTGCTTTCACCTCACTGCAGTGCTTTTTAAAGCTGACTTTGGTCTTCCTTTCCTGTCAATGTTCCCTTGAATATGAATTTGTGAAGTTCGCCTTTGACTGTTCTGTCCTTCTGCTTCACATTGTTTCAGGCTAAAGAGAAAATGCCTCGCATTTCAGAAGATCTGTGCCGAGTTTGGAGACTCTTTGGAGACTTGGCTCCGTGTTTACTCTTTGCTCCATGCTCTCTGTATGTTGTCCTCAGTCTGACACCTACAGCATAGTGGGAGCCATACCCCACTCTGTGGTTTCCACACACATCTCAGGATGCAGTTATCCGTTAAGGACTATCGTTCTTGTTATATGGATTACTGCTTTTGAAGAAATAGTAGCAACGTGAGGTTTGTCAGGTTCACAGATGCAATTTCATCAGCAGTTTAAAGATAAAAAAAATAATAGCAATTAACGGTAGCAAAGAAAAACTTGGAGGTCTTGCTTGCAGAATTTTAAGCTGCGAAAGAGAAAATAAAGCATCACCCTTAAAGTAAGCCTCACCAATATCAGTGAGTCCAAGGAAAAAGGGCCTGCCTGCTCATATTCATTCTCTTTCAGAGCAGAATCAGGACTGCTGGATGGGAAGAAGGGCAGTGAGGCTCAGCCCGTTCTTTCCTTTCTTTCCCCTGTTGGGAAATGCTTTGTCTGCTTCCCCACTCAGCCTCCAACTTCAGGCAGGTAACGTGATAATACAACCACTGTTCCTTATAGCATTCAGCCCCAGCTGCCATCCCTGATCTGTTCGTGATCAGCATTCAGGCTCTGGCCAGGCCAGTTTCCTCTGAACTCCCCACAGGAGGACTTGCTTACAGCCCCGCAGACCCTCAGCCCGCTCAGGCTCGCTCTCTGGGCTGCTGCATGCATGGCTGCCCTCACCCCCAGACCCAATGAGCCATGAAGGGAATTACCTCCTGAACAAGGGCAAGTAAGGACTTACATCCCTGCAATCTCCATTATGTAGTCTAATGCTAAAGAAAAATTATTTTAGAATTTAGTTCAAGGTTCTGAAATGAATAGTTACATCACTTGTCAAAAAAACCGTTGTTTTAGTTTCCTCTCGCCAGAAGTAAGATCTGCTCTTTGGCTGCTGTTGCCATATTTCTTTTTCACTAGTATACTGCATGGAAAGATTTTCCTAGCAGCAATCTTCAAATACGTGAATTTTACTGGAAAGAAAGGGGAGTTTCTTCTACTTATCTCTTCATTGCCATTTGTTTCACTTTCATCATATTCCCAAATAAAGTCAACATGCCAAATGAAGTATTTGTTACGTGATGATCTTTTCTGGGACAACTTCACAGGTGATTTCTTTACCTCCATTTGTTAGCATAACTGTTCAAGAAACTCAACTTCTGTGTAGTAAAGCCAAGTAAAGCCGCAATGTCAGTGTACTTACACTACTGAAAAGATCACTTCTGATTCCCTTCTGGGGACAGGTAGAAGAAATAAGACGTGCAGTTTGGATGAACTTCCCTGAACCTGTCTCCTGTGGGACTTCCAGCCACACGCTGAAGCCAGCAGTCCCTTTCTACAACGACGAGTTCAGAATCGCTTTCTCAGTCACAGTGAAACATTTGTTTAAGGATACCTGTGCACGGGCACGAGCATAATTGCAGCAGTTAGATCAGCTATAGTGCCTTTTTTACCAAGAACTTCCATACTCTTTTTCCACACTGTGTCTCACACAAAACCAAAAAGAGTGTTTCCTCCATTTTTTTTTGTGGGGGAAACAGCTTTGGAAACAGTTGGAAACAGCTTTACAGTCACATCAAATGCACTGGACCTCAATTAGCCTCAGTTTAGCAATAGCCTCTCACAAACTTCCTCTAGAAAGCCCAGCAATGTAGCTACGATAATTAACTTTGCAATAAGAATGATCAGTCTTCTTTTGAAGAAGCAATGTTGTTCAACAGTAAGTATTCAGGGAGATGTGGTCTGTGTCCATATCAACTGTGAACAATTGGCAGCTTCAGTCTTTGTACTGGCATCAGTTACAGGCTTGCTGGTATGCAGCAGGCCTTGCAGGGTGGGGGAACTGCAGAGAGGAGTGGGTGCTGGGGCTCGGGTCCATCAGTCACACAAAGCTGGGCCATCCCACAAAGCAGCTGGCTGAGGGTCAGCTGCCTTGTTCCATAGGCCCTCGTGTACTGTGCCTCCAGGGAACCCATCTTGCCAGGATTCCTCTGGGCTCTGTCCTTCTCCATGGCTCCCTGAACAGCTCCTCTCGCTTGTCTTGATCAAAATTCTGTATACACGGTGCTCTCTGTTCAACCTTTCAATGGTGCTTTTATACAATGCTGGATAAATAGGTTCAATGTGCTTTCTGAAAGCTGACATGTAAAGCTGTGACACAGAGTGTTCTCTCTAGCATTTTCTACTTCACAGAACTTAGTATTAACTGTGTTGCTTTGCAAATGGCTGTCAGTGCTTCCGTTTCTCGCTCACCTTGTGCAGAACTGTCATGCATAGCAAGCCCAGGTTGGGTGGTAGAGTTCAAAAGCAGCCGCTCAGGTGGAGCACCTTGGCCTGAGAGCAGTTAGATATGTGGCAGTGTGCAGTGTGAGGCTGGAAACAGCACGGATCCCAGCTGAAGGGCTTTATTCTCTCAGCGTGTATATAAATTTGTTTGCACAATAACTATAAGAATTCTATTTCAGCAACAATCAATTTAATTTGGACCAAATGCCAAACAGGGATTTCTGCTCTTTGGTACTTAATAGCAGGTATTTCAGAACAGTGTTATTTATTTAGGTTGGGACATGCCTTAATAAGGCTGCTGTATGCTTCACAAGTAACTTGGTGAGTGTGTAGCCTATGGAGAATTAGAATGCTGAAAGGTATTCAATCTGATGGCTGCTTCTGGGGTGACATGCTGAAGACTTCCAAAAGCAAATCTCTTCCCAGGAGCAGGGTGCATAATTGCTATTAATATGTCTTTATGGGCTTGTGCTGAAGTTGATTTGCAGCGTATCTTCTGAGATGATCCAGGCTGAAGACAATGCCAGAAATTATCTCAGCCTCAAAAATTAAAACAAATAAACAAACAACAGAAAAGTATTTTTCTATCCCTTGTTACTCAGCCAGATACCAACTTGTTGAGGATTATGCTGGGAACAAGCGCTGTGGATGGAGCATCACAGAGATGAAAGCAGTGAGTTCCTTTTCTTCAAGGAGAGAGAACCCCATTTTGTTCAGTGAATATGAAAGATCCCATGCTCAGCATTCTTATACCCTCAACAAAAAGCATTAAACAAATCAGTTGCCTACTTCCCATCAATTGCATTAGGATATCATGTACCCTACACTGCTCTTCCATAGGGATAACAGAAGGATGAAAGCTTTTTTCTGATGCAAAGTTCTTATAGTTGACTTGATTAAACTTACTTTATGTGTAAGCCATAGATCAGCAAGAGAGAGTCTTCACCACGTAGATACATTTCACCTAACTCTATATGATTAGTTGTAGGCAGAATCACTACAACATCTTCAGGGTCTACACTTGCTTTGACCTGCTCATATATCTAGCTTGAGCGCTGCAATTTGCTTAGCAAAGGTATGAGTTATCACTATATTATGTATGCATTAGCTTGCCTGATGTTTGGATGACATAAATCTTACCATTTTGATTTGCCAAGCTGTGAGGTTTGGTTTCTGGAAGTCTTCAGTTTCAAACTGGCCAGAAGGACAGTGACACAATGGAGCTTTGGGCAACCTATTCTCATGGATGGTGTCTCTGCCCACGGCAGGGGCTTGGAATGAGGTGGTCTTTAAGGGCCCTTCCAAACCAAACATTCTGTCATTCTGTGATAGCAAAGTGCTGAAAAATAAAGATGTTTGTGAAAAGGTAAACATGCTCACTGTTAACTGCATAGCAGCTTGTCAACTATATGTGCTACTCCTTTGCTGCACGCATTTCTAAATATCAGCTTTCATTTGTGATGTTTGTTCATTGTTATAAAAACAGTCTGATAGATTTTCATCATCTAATTTTAACTAGAATATTTGTTATACAGAATATAAAATGAGATCTTTGTTCGGTCTAAAAGGCAGCTGTGTAATTTCTTATAGTTTATGACAATGAATCAACATGCTTAATGTATTTACAAAGTACATAAGTAAGCTGTGACTTTAAAATGCTTTGTTTTGGATTTCAGAATGTCTCCCTTTCACTTCATGATAATGTTACCAACTTTGTAATTTTAACCTCGTAACAGTGGAGAAGTGTTTTAAAAGCTTACAAATCTTGTTACTTTAGCACTGGTGTTCAGCCTTCTGAATGTTATGAAGAGACGCTCTGATTTTAACTTTCAGCATGGTTTGCATTTTATTTACGTAACTGCTCCTCCCTGCCTTGCTTAGCCGTCTCTGTCAGTTTTCTCTTTTGTCCTTGATGAAATATGGTACCTGGCCACTGTCCAGTGGGCACAGAGGCTGCGTTGCTTCGCAGTGCTGCGTGGGATCTTCCTGATGTGCTGCTGGGATGTAGAAGCCTGGACTCACGCTCTGAAGTCATGCATTTTGGGGCAACCACATCCTGTTTTGCAGACTTCTGTGGAGGTCTTCACTTTCTTTCAAGTTCAGCCGAAGTTGTGCAGCTTGCAAGCACTCAGCTGACGGGTAAAGATGTACAGTAAGAGGTGAATTACTGCAGCATTTAAATGCATTAGTAAAAAACACCTAAGAGCACAACAACCTCCTTTCTCACCTGTGTGAGGACAACATAACTTGGTCTTTACCTCTGACTCTACTGGAGAATGGCCACAGAACAAAGCTCCTCTGGATATCCTACCAGCAGGCAGTTCCATGCAGCTGTTGCTGACTGTGAATGAGCATTTGGATCACCCGTGGCTCCCCATGTACCACCTTCATGCTTTCCAGTAGGCCTGTGGTGACGACACCTGAGGAGTGATGACAACTCTGTGGTGATGACAAGGAGGAATGGTCCTTGGCTTGACAGGCCTGAGCCTTGGAGCTGAACGTGTGCTCAGAGTGAGCCTGCAAACCCAGGGAAGAGCATTTAGTGGCAGGGCAGGGCAGGTATTTCCTAGTGTAGCAGCTTGGAAGAGGTCAAAGGAAAAATAGCTGAGCGTCATTTGTGCTGCATCCATCTTGCAGACAACCTATTCATAAAAGTAGAAGAGATTGCAGTGAAGTTGCCAAGAGTCACATAAGGGGTGGGTGGAATTGCTTTCTCAGTACTCCCCCAACTCAGAGGCAGTGTCAGGTCCTCTGTGCCCCTTTCTTTCAGCAAGCCTCCAGGCAGCATAAACGAAATGAAAATAAACTGTATATGCATGTGCTTTTGTCCCATGATAATCCCCAGTGGGCAAATGTTGGTGGCACTCATCTAAGTACCATCAACCATGTGCAGATTTGGACTTCCACAGATGCTTTCTCAGCCAAAAAAAAAAAAAAAAGTGAAAACTGAATGATTTCACTGAAAAATAATTTGTATGAAATGAGGGTGCAGGATTAGAACCTAAAAGTTTGGGAGATGTTTGGTTTGGTGCTAGGTACTTTTCTTTGTATTTTCAGTGAAATGAATTTTCTTTGTGGACTGATACGACCTCCATAGGAACAACAGAAAACACAGAGTTGGGTCTGCAGGTATTTATCTCCAATAGCTGTTACTAAAAGCCCGCCTCAGTAGAATTCACTTAAAATTGGGTGCTATAGGAGCTTCAGCACACAATGTATGGAACATTGCCTACTTAGAAGATAGTGGATAAGTATTTGCAATTACAGGCACTTGTTTATTTTAACCATTGTTTTATAATGGAAAAAGTATTTATTAGCAGGGTGGTTTTCTAGCAATATTCTCTCAAGGAAAGTTCTAGCAGCAGATTGTGCTTTCAGGACAGCTATTTGATTTTCTGGTCACTGAAGAAGAACTTCAGACATCCTCTAACCAGCATGACCTTCTGAACAGAGAGGATTAGATCTGGCTCTGGCTTTCACAGAGCGGATACGGTTAAATAAGCTGTGCAGTTCAGCTCTGAAGGTAGCAAGAGCAGTTCAATGAAATGACTGTAATATATAAACCTGGAGTCAGTGCATGCAGACTTCCAAGCTGGCACTGCTGAGCCTTGTTTGCTACACGATTGGTTATTTGGCTTGCTACCTTTTTGAAATCAATATGGTTTTATTAACTGCACTGCAGACACCAAAATGCTGTAGTATTGCAGAATGTGTGCTCCATAAATTGCAGCTTGACCGTAATTGCAGGGCTTATGCTACTGTCAGAGCAGCTCAGAGCCAACACTAAGTTGCATTTTGTAAAGTGATAAATGCCGTGACGTTCCCTTCGATGTTTCGTAGGAGTACACACAAGTTGATGTAATTTAGTCATACCCTTATTCAAAGAATCTTCATCTGATACTTCTAGCCAACCCAGCTTTTGGCTGCCGAAAGCACAGTAGGTTATTATGGTTATTTACAGTAAACGTAGATGAGTTTTATGTAAATATGTCAGGAGAAAAAAATGTGTTACTGAAACGTATGAGGCCGTTATCTAAAAGTCAGAACGTAGGTCAATGATATAAAATGCAGCTTTCATTTATGTACAGCAGTATCCTAATATTTGCTTCTTTACATGGGGGGAAAAAGAAATTTAAGATTCTGGCCTGCGTGCTCTGAAAGCATTTCAAATTGGCTCTGCTATTTTCTCCGGTTAATGTATTTACAAATGCCTTTTGAATGGATTGGAAATCCGTGTCGATTATGTTGAATGAGAAATGCTACATTGCAGTGAAATCAGTTGAATTAAAAAATCCTGGGAAAACAGATTGGACTGAAATCTATATAAAAATCCAGTCACCAGATGGAATAAAACACAATAAATAAGATTTGTCTTTTTTTATTATTATTATTCTGTGCCTCTTTTTTTGCTGTTGTTCGTTTGTCTGTTTTCTTAACAAATGCTTTATTTAGTCCTTGCAGACACTTGCTTTTCTGCCTCCCAAAGTCTGCATTATTTGATAGACTGTCGCTTGTTCTGATTTCATTATCTCAGGAGAACTTTTAAGTGTTCTTTGTGTTACGCAGCACCGTCCTGCCCCCAAAGCCACAATCCTGTCAAGATTCAAGCAGGCACTGCAAATTTTAAATTGCCTTTAGAATAAAGCAGAAGCTCCTTCGAATAAGGTGGTACTGTGCTCTTTAATGAAGGTTAAAACATTGGTCTTGAGCCTGTGAAAGTTACATAGCTCTCAGCATTTTTAAAGAGCAGCAATTACCAGCTTAATGGGTTATTTTCTGAACTAGCTATGGCCTTCAGTTCTTTTTTTCTTGGCTGAAGATGCTCTCAGGTAACATTCCAGCCATTAGCAGTGCTGCTCTGTCAATAGCAATACTCTCCTTTGTGCAGAAATACTTGCAGAGCATCCTGAACCATTTCAGAGACAGCTGAACCAAGCCTGCAGCTGGATACATAACACAAGTCTGTGTTCTGCACCTAAACAACACAAGGAAGTATCTTCTTTGAAGTATTTCACTGGAGCGAGGCTTCTTCATACACTCGAGAATGAGGTTCAAGTGGTGCACAGCCTGCTGGGACTCAATGTCTCCCCACAGGTTGGGCCCTTACCCTCAGTATCTTCAATTACAGATGAGAGAAGAGCAGCTTTACCCAATTAATGCCACCCAATACCGATGAGGGAGCTCCAGGAAGATTCACCGTGCAGCCAGTGGTTAGTTATACTGAGATGGGAGGCTGAAAAATTGCACTCACACAGGAAAAGTGTCTGATCACTGTCAAGGTAATGGTTCTTTAACCTGTGTTGGTATATCTTAATACTGAAAGATACAAGCTTGTAGGTTAAATAGAAGACTTGTGAAAATCAGCAAAATGTGAAAAATTCAGTATCTGAGAGTTTAATAAGTTGCTTTTTAGTGAATGTTTTTTTCATGAACCAAGAAGCTGCAGAATACATAACCAGATGCAATCCTTTGATGAAATAACTTGCTGAACACCTGATACCTAAAGAATGCATACATGATTCTGTAAAGAGAACTGTATTACACACATGTATTTCTCTTGACAAGAATTAACATGTATATATAATATATATCTGTATGAGTGCATATATGTATACACATACGTGCATATATATAAATTCCAATTGCTCTCAGCTATAAAATAGCTACATTACAATGGCTAGCTTCAGGTTTGAAGACAACTGTGTAAAACTTTAAATGTGTCTGGTTTAAATGCTGAGCAATTCCAGCTAACCCTGTAGCTATGCAAACATTTGGGAAAGGAAAGTAGGAGCCGTCTTTGTTCTCCACTCATCTTTGACATTGCTGAAACCAAGCAGGAGTATACTGCAGTGACACCTGGTGTTTAAAATAGAATTATTCCCTGTGAAGTGTGACAGTCAATTTGCTTTTAATTGGATACACTCAAACACTCATAGTTCACCCTGTATTGAACTAGAAAACGTTGGAGCTGAAGAGTGACTTGACATTACTTCATATAAAAAGCATCTGACAGATTTGTTTCAAAAGACAAAAATTGCAGGAGCATGATCTTTCTTGAATGGCTGTTCTTCCTAGCACTTCAGCTGACGAGGTACTTTATCACTACTTCTCAGCTGATTATTTCACAAAAGGGGCTGACCCTTACTATAACTCACACAACTGGAATTTCCACGCAGCCTTTGTGGAAGGGCTGATAGACAAGAACAGAGAACTGCCAGTTCAGGCTGAAACCGGGAACTCTGCATCTGTTGCAATGCCAGAAAGGGTATCAAAGCCACGACAGATGCTTCTGAAGCAGTCCTGCTAAAGAGCTCACTGACCAAAGTAGTGGAGACCTGTGCATTTACAGATGTGACAGATGTGGAATGCAAATCACATTAAAAGTTAAGGTAATTCAGGATTATTAGGATAAAATAAGATCATAGCAATCGTAAGGAGCATTATTATCAAAGGAATGCCATGAGAGGAAGAAAAATTAAAGATCTAGCAGCAGTGTGTATAGAGTGCTTGACAATTTCTATTATGCACAAGTTTGTGTGATTTGCTTTGAGCCGCACATACAAGCTCCACATTTATGTAGCTAATCTTTAAAATCTGGCAAGGACAAAGCCCTCAGGCTAGCATTGTATTTTTCACTTGTCATACAAACTCTGTAAGGGTTTGTCTGAACTGCAAAAGCCATATTTCCCATACTGGGAAATGATGAGACATGAAGTGTGTACCTTGTATCCCAAGTCAAGCAGCAGAGCACCAAGATTTCCCTAGCACACACTCCAAGGCAAGCACTCCAGCTAGCATTCAGAGCTCTTTTTCCTCTCTCGCCTGCAGCTTATTTCTAGCAGCAAAGGACAAAATAGAAAGGAGCTGCCTCCAGGTCCTGTGATTTCTGAAGGACAGTCTTATTGGCAAAGATTGAGCCAAGGTGGCATCCAGTACCTCAGCTTTTGGCATGTCACCTTTAGCAGCAGGCCCGTCTTTTCCCTAATTAAACTGCCAGAAGCTGTTCCTGTTGCCATTGATTCCGTTAGAGTCATTTAGATTAAATTCCAGTTGAGCTTTGTCTCTGCATGCACAATGTCTCAGTGTCCCTACCAGGCTACCTGTCTCTGCTTCCGCTTTCTGCGGGGTTCCTTCTTGTGTTTGAGTTTGGCCAGGAGCACCTTGTTCACTAGGCAGGCCTCCTGGCAGTTTTGCCTTATTTCTTGTGCTTGGGAAGCACAGCTTGGAGTAGGTGATTCTAGAACACTAATCAGCTTTCTCAGACCCATCTTCCCTGCAGGCCCTTATCCCATGGCATCTATCAAGCAGATCCCATTCAGCCACCTCACCAAATAAGGGGATTCCTGTGGAAAAGTAGTACTGTGATTTTCCTGCCAGCGTCCTTAATTGCATGATCAGGTTTGTTGAGTTTGTTTGTTTGTTTGTTTCATTGGGGTATTTTTTGTTTTAGTTTTAGGTTGTCTTTGTTTTTGTTTTTGTTTTTGTTTTTTTCCATAAAAACAGATTCAGTGAGTTTTGAGCATAAAAATAGCAAGAAATGGTACGAAGTAGGTGAAGGTAGCTGTAAATCTGAGATGTCTTTCCCTCCAAATTTTGCAGCCTAGATACCACTTAAAGGTTTGCTACATGACTAGAAGATGGTAATTGCCTCATGTCTGTGACATGTCTTTAGGGGACAGTGCAAAGAGCGCTAAATGGAAAAGGGGGAAGACAAGGATCCTATCCTTAGTAATCTGCAACTAAAATATTCTTTGGGCAATTGAGTGGGAAAAGTCTCTCATGGCACATTGCCCAAGGTTTGTTTGCACAGTTTCCAAATCTCAGCTAGGTCTTCTTGGGTTCATGTACAGGGCTTTCCAATGGATTTGGTGTCAGAGCCTCCTAGCTCAGCCTGCCTTTTCCACACGTTGACATTGACACAGCATAATGTGCTCTGAGCTGCCCCAGCCTTCGCCAGCACCAAGCCCCACTCAGGAAACTTCCTTGGAGCCAAGCAAGCCTGTGCAGAATGAGTTAGTGTGTTTCTGGACCAGCACTGTGGTTAGGCCACAAATTAGGTAATTACCACACACAAAGGAGATAATTATGTGGTTTTATTTGTTTATGTAAGTGTGTGTTTGTGTGTGTGTCAATGGGGAGAGTCCAGAGAATCACACATTTGATATCATGTAGCATTCCTTTTCAAAGCTCTCCTTATGTACCTTTCACTTTGAATAGCACTGAAAGCCAGGCAAGACAAATAATGCCATCTGAAGTGCAGTTAATTCACCTGTTCCTCTGTAAAAAAACCTTGTCAAAAAAGGAAAAGGAATGAGGATGCTTTCATACCACACAGGGGTTCTTGCTACTGCTACACTGATTCATCACAGTTTGGGGCAGGTGAGTGAGCAACAGGAATTTTTTTCAGCCAGAATTTCCCTACATCTGCTTGATTTTTATGTATGTATTCATTCATGTTTTCTTAAGCGCATGTATACTGGGTGGGGCTGCTAACTTGACTGCTCCTGCTCTTAGCTTGAGAGATCCAGTTTGGTAGATCTGGGGCATGTCAGGCTGGAGACTAAAGCAAAGTAAGGACTATCAGCATATCGGGAAATCACACAGAATTTGGAAGTGTAATCCAGATCTACTGCTGCTTAGCAGCTGCTTGGTTAGCTCTAAAAAGCCCTCCACAGGGTCCAGATCTTCAGATGCTCTTCCCAAGCGCACGCTGAAGATGGAATTTTCCTTGTCATGTTGGTTTCAGGGTCTCCAGGTAGCTTTCCTCATATATTGGATAGGTAGCTTAGATGGCTAACTGATTAACTGCCACGAGTTTAGGTGGCTTTAGTGTACTTTATGTTTACACCACATGCACCTGTGCACCTTTTCATTTAGTAATAGAGCTAGTGAACAACTTATGGTCCTATCCATATTATTGTGAGCAGTATTTATGCTGCAGGGATGTACACCTCAGTCCACCAAGCGTAAGAGATAGCACAAGTCCCAGAGATAATTCTGGACCAGCATGGCCATGCAGGGAGACTGCCGTGTCTCCTGACCCAAAGGGGAAGAAGGTGGGTGCTGCAGGGTATAAGACATTATTGTTTGTGCCTGATAGGATGAAAAGCTAGGAGGGGAGGAGAAAGGAAGGATAACAGAACATGGGCATGATTCATTCTTATTTCTAAGATTCTAGAGCTGAATCCATGATTAAAACTTCAGTCTTGCTGTGTTCTGGCAGATAGGCAGGGTACTGTTCACATCTCCGAGCTCTGGGTGTTTGGGTATGAAGTGCAGAACACTGACTTCAGTATTCAATAGCCTTGGCAAGTGTTAAGAGGAAGACTTTGGCATAAGGTTAAGGAACTCAAAAAGCAGGGAAAGAACTGCCGCCAAAAGCTGTAA